TGTATGTATTATAATGACTATTGTTATAAGATAGGATCAATTCTGGTTACAAAACTGGAATGTCCACACACCCAATTTCTTTATCATCAGTCTACAGCAACATAAGAAAGCTATGCATAAATGAGCTCAGAGGCAGATGCTACATGGGCTGCATAGAATTGGTCAGGGAGCAGCAGTGAGAAAGCCATGGCTGTCTCCTGTGGATGCAAAAGGGGTCACTGAACAATGCCAGCTATGAGCAATGTCAGATATTAGTTTGGTAGGGTGACATTTTTATTTCTTTTTATTGTGTGACTATCCACTTGTGAGAAATACAGGCCAAGAGTTGTGTCTGGGAAAACAAATTATGTCTGGAATTTATCTTGATAAACTATAAAAACAGATTATGTTCTTTGGGCTAAAAGTTGTTAGCATAAGTATGAGATTGTGAGTTCCTTGGTTCTTTACTGCTTTAAGAAAAGAGAGAAAAAGGATTTTTAAAGAAAAAAACTAAAGTAGTGAAAAAATGACTATATACATGCAGAGGGAATTTGTGGATTAGGCTGGTAGGTACTTCTGCAAGATACTCTTGCTGATTTTAGGTGTCACGTACATTACTTCAGTCAAAAAACAGTTATCACAAGCACTGCAGTAAATAACCCTCCCCATGGTTTGTCTTCTTGTTTCTAAAAGATCATCTGAGTCTCTTGCACTGTTGAGGTCTAGAACAATGGGAAAAAAGTGGGAGATAATCCTTTTAAAAGCAAAGTATATGCTGAAGGAAATATCATTTTCATGTGCAGTTAGAAACAGCCAAAGGGCCATTGTCTATATACAGGACAAAGGAAGAGGAGTTAAAATATTTGGACACATGCTAAAGGCTGTGTATCTGTGAAACTTCCACTTCAAATCCCAGCCAAATCTTCTCTGACTGGCTTGAGATAAATAAGCATTCAACACTAATCAGCAAAGTTAAAATGCTGGGGTTTTTCAACCTTGTTTTTAATTGAACAATTCCTTATCAATAAGTTCTTGTCCAATAGTTACTTGAAATATTTTGCAATGTAGTTACATTTGAATCCTGAGGATTCAAATTCTCAGCCTACTGAGAGTACTACCTGAGTTTTCATCACTGAAAATGATGAAAATGATGATCACTGAGTGATCATCATTGTTAACCATCTGCCTCTGGTCAAATTTCTTTTATTGAGGCCTCTTTTAATATATGTATTCATTGAGGATTTGCTGTACAATATGACAAATTCCCATTGACAGTGGCATGTTCTCAACTTCATTGATTAGGCTTGTTGAGAAGCAGTTAGGACTCTCTGCCTCTTAATCACACCATAAAAAGGGCAGAGTTTGTGTTTCCTCTTGCACCATTTCATCTTTACCAAGGGCTGCTTCTTCTCCCATGAAGAGCTGCTCTACAGTGTGAGTAGTGGCACTGGGAGATCCACTCACAGTAGATGTAGCTCAGGTTCTTTAATTAAATTAAGTCCATATGCTCAGTCCAGAGATTTTCAGTGGCAGGCAGCTGTCTCCTCACAGCAGCAGAGAGGTACAGCCCCTTCAAAAATGGTGCTCTGCAACCCTCACTGGTAGAGTGCTGTGCACCACTGTCCTTGGAATTTCCCTTCATATTAACTGATAATACTTGAGCTGCTCACAAGGTCTGATGTGTAATTTAAATTACTATTGACAATGGCATGCTGAGAGAGACATAAGTTAGAGCATAAAAGGGAGACAGGGAGAGGAAACTGGCAACAAAGCAAGTTAAGTAAATACATAAATATAAACATTCTTAGTCAGAACATTAATCTCTCATCTTGATTGCTTTTCAGGTAAGAGAAAGGTAGATATCAAGGTGGATATCAAGAAGCTTGCATGCTGCTGTGAGAAAGTTTAACATGATAGCTTGGTCATGGACTAATACTGTGATGTTAAACAAATCTGCTGTCAACCATCCTGCCATTCATAGCAGTTGGAGGTGTTAAATGATGGCCTCAAGTCCTGCTGCCCCTCTATTCAAGGAAAGAGTCAGCATCAAGGTGACTCAAGGTCTTTCCTACTCCCAGGTCCCTCAGTTTCCCTTTGCAGTACTGGAAGGAACAAAACTAGAAGGATTTCTCCCGATATTTACCATCTCAGCAGCTAGTCCAGCAATGACTAGAATTTTTTATTTCAAGTCAGAATAACTAATGATTAAATTTTCTTTGGAAAGGTGCAGTCTGAGCTGCAGTTTCGTGACTGCTTCATGCCCATTAAAGCTGGGCTGTTGCTGACAGGAACCATTTCCTCCTCTCCTGTGTTTCAGCTCACACCTTCCTTCCCTTTTCCCTCTGCTGGCACTAGCACCTCTGCAGCCATGCCAAGGGCTGGAAAAGGGAATTGCTGCAACTGGAACTACAGTGAGCTTTACTGGTTAGCTTCCAGCTGGGCCAGCACATTGCTCTGCTTCTCTCCCTGCCCTGCAGGTGCCTCTGTGGGAGAAACAACAGGAGTGGGTAAGGTGTGGGACCATCTCCCTCAGGGGGATTTAAACAACTGTGATTCACATCCCCCCAAAGCTTTCCAGGAAAAATAGGCCTCAGGAAAAAAGAATGTGTGTCGCTCTATTGGGAATGGCAAGAAGAACGATACAGACTCTCTTGTGCTGAACAGGAGAGCAAAGTTTATTACTTCAGATCTTCTTTTATAGACCAATACGTGAAAGTACAGAAAAGTAAAACTCTTATTGGTTAGTAAACTAACACATTACCCTCACTGGTCAGTGGGGTACACCACCCCTCGACCTTCTCTTGCAAGAAAACAAGAAACTGACAAACAACACCTGCAAGGCTGTCTTCTATCTCCAAGGATTGTTTTAATTCCTCCTTATGAATTTCCAGGCCACTTTCTCAGGTGAGACTGAGAAAGTTATGTGGCCTGCTTTTCCACAGGCACTGTGCTCCCTGCTTTTGCTCATAGTTAGCATCCATAAATGTGCGTGCCAGTTTTAGGTTAAATTCCCTTTCCTATCACAGATTGCTTACCTGACTTTGAACAGGTCATTTTAATCTCTGCCTTAGATTTCCTTCTCCAAAACAAAGACAAAGCAGTACTTTTATCTTTTAGAACAAGCACATTAGAGATTTTGAGGTGCTGAGGTGCCCAGGTACCCTGGGAACAGGAGTGCAAAAGGACTTTTGATAGGTCTGCAAATATTTTTAAAGTGCTTCTGCCTCAAGCTCCTACTTTTAATTGCAGTAATTGTAGACAGTATTTGTACTGCAAAACTATGGTCTTTGTAGCTTAACATGTTGTAAGTATCCACACTTTTGGCAAATCATTGGTATAACTGAATTCCAGATTATAGAATTCAGGGTATAAATCTGAGATATACAACAAAGGATGGAAATTATTTTTTCAGACTTTAAAAAGCATTTTCACTGTGTTTCAAGTTTCAGTAACTTTTAGTAGCATCGCTCAACAACAGAGTAAGCAAGCACTCCATGGTGAAAACACCAGCTGTGGTCAGTTTTACATGCAGTTACCTTTCCATCAGTCATACCATAGAGTTACTTGCTCCATTTGAACCTGAGCCTGATCTGAGGAGATCAAATAATTTCATCTGACCTGACATTGTCATATTTTTTTCTAACAGAGCTTATGTGTGGTTTTGTTTGTGACCAGACCCATCACTTACAGGGCTTCAAACTAATACCCTTGTTTTAGCACAGAGCAAACAGAGTGATTGTTTGGACCACAACCACTTTTCCAGAAATGGGTGATAGTACCACATCAATACTGTCATTGTGGTCCTCTTCCTAGCCTAAAAAGCTCTGTTTGCATCCTAAGATTTGAAATGTTTATCCTTTGAAAATATGTACTTGATGCAGCCATAATAAGTAGTAGAATATCCTTTTTGCCTCAGAATTTGAGATTAGAATGTCTATAGCTAAAGGAGGATACCACTAGAAATAAGTATTTAGTAAGGTGAGGATAAAATTACAAGGGCAGATCTTCATTCAAGAAGAAGTCAGACTTTTATTTATAAAATTCAAATGGGAGATTGCAGACTAGTTATTCTTGGATACATCATCCAACACTGGCAATCTGATTCTAAAGGGCTGATTACCAGAAAGTACAGGTACTTCTTATATATAAGGTGCTGAAAGATGCTGGGACCAGGGATATTCAAAATCATTGGTCTCATTCTGACACCACTTTACCACATACTCTTTCTTTGACCTTGGAAACACATTTCATTTCTCTACATTTAAGTTCCTGCATTTAGAAAATGGGGATTAAGAACACAGATGCAAAGCTGTTCTAAGTTTATTGATATTTGCAGCTTTCAGAGCTTTAATGGGTAGCGCTGTACAAAGGCAAATAGCTCTTTACTTTTTACTGAAGTGATTCATTTTTCAGCTGGCCGCACTGTTGTACTGCAAATCTTCAATGAGTGAGAACTTGCCAATTTGAAGAAACAACTGATTTAACTAAATGGTTTTTCAAAGGCACATAGATAAACTGGTGCAAACCCATCATGGAGATAAATTTATATCAGGCTGAGTGCCTCATATTGATTAAGCTTATGTCAGCAAGGAATCAACTTGCTAATGCCATGAAAGGCACTTTTAAACTGAAATAAGAGTGTCTACGCAAGGGATTAGTTTAATATTGGCATTCTTTTTCCCCAAATAAGACAAGCCTTTAAGTCCCATATCCCTAGTGCTATGCATTGTGAATTAAAAAAAAAAAAAAAAAAAAAAAGTAATAGAAATGGCATAGCAGACATGGCAAAAACCAATTAGTGCCTGTCCTTGGTACTCAGAGTGCTACACTGGCTCGCAATTAGGCTTGCTATGATTTGAAGCATCTTTAAGCCTGCTCCTATTGAACACAATATGTGGGAATGTTGTTCTGTTATATTTTTTTAAATGTTCAAGCAATGCTAACTGACATATCCCAGAGATGTGAGTTCAAGGCTGTGGTTTCATGGCTGCCTAATTCCTATGGCAGGCCAGCTACCACTATGAAGTCACAAATACATTACTTGTGAGAAGGAAGGCAAAGTGCCACCCAAACCAGTTTGGTGGATGCTTATGCTTGCTATGGCAACAGTGTGAACAAAATTTAGGATGAGCTGCTCCTAGCCCTTCTCTGCTAAAAGGAGGATCCAGACTTCCAACTCTGAATTGCCATCACAAATGTACTTGGAAGAATGTAAGTGTAGGCACAGTGAAGACTTTTAAGTAAATATTTAAATCAGTCTGCATTTTTAAATAGTCATGGTGTATTCAAAGAAGAAGTTGGGGTTTTTTTCAATTTTTACAGCTGTAGAAAAGTATAGAAATAAATAGAAATAGAAATAGAAATAGAAATAGAAATAGAAATAGAAATAGAAATAGAAATAGAAATAGAAATAGAAATAGAAATGGAAATAGAAATAGAAATAGAAATAGAAATAGAAACCGCAATGGCCTTGCAGAAATACTAATAGTTATCCTAATAGCTAGACTATATCTGTCTATAATATATGGTAGATGAACTGACAATGTCCAAAATAATCACTATCAGCAAGTACTTCCTGAGTTTTAAGAATGATTTCAACATTAACTGGTATCAACACATAAGAGCCAGAAGCTAGATACCCTGATGTCTTAAGTTGCAATGCAAGATGTAACCAAAAGTATGTATTCTATTACCATCTGTTAAAACCAGGTGGGGCAGTGTTCTTTATCTCTTCCAAGACCCATCCTCCCTCCAGGGGGATCTCTTCTGTTAAAGGGCCATTGAGGCTCACTGCATGACTGATAAAATGACATCATCCCATGGTGAGATGCTCCACCCAGGGGGAGGAGCCAAGCATTCCTACCTGGATATAATCTGAGACTTGGAACACCACAGGCAGCCTTTCTCCACTGGATTCCCAGAGGAAGACCAGACTGTTCTACATCCCCACTGGACCTTCAGAGGAAAACTACACCCTTCTACAGGATCACTGCTTCAACAGAACCACATCTGTCACTCCAGGAGGACTGCAGCCACCATTTAATCAGACTGCTACCAACACCCTGACCAACAGGGTGTCAAGTTGTATTCTGACTATGACAGCATTTTTTTATATCACTACATTTTATTTCAATTTTCCTATTAAGTTGTAAGGTTTTTTTAAATTTATACATACTAGTAAATAACTGTTATTCCTACTCCCATATCTTTGCCGAAGAGGCCCTTAATTTCAAAATTATAATAATTCAGAGGGACAGGGTTTACATTTTCCATTTCAAAAGAAGCTCCTGCCTTCCTTAGCAGACACCTGTCTTTTCAAATCAAGACATAAGTCTTTTCCCTATCCTTTCTTAATGCTTTCTATTCAATGTTCATATTTTATGGAGATCCATCTTCATGAATTAAAGAACTCTGAAAAAATGAAGAATAATCATGAAGTCTCTCTCACCTTCCAGGCAGAATATGTAAGGACAGCACGACTGAACCTTGTTTGCAATGGTGTGACTACCACTGAGAGCTGAAGTGGGAAAATTGGATGTTTTCATCTGAAAATACATAAGTACATAAGCATGCTAGGATCTTCTGGATGTTACAGATTCAGTCAGCTGGATGTTACAGTAGCTGTATCTCCTGGATATGGGCTCATTCCCTCTGAGCAAGCTCGAGGCTGAAGTGTTACTGCAGTGGGATGATGCTGTAGTGGGCTGTGGCTGCAGAGACCAGCCATCCCTGACCTGACTGGGATCACGCTAGTATGACACTGAGATAGGGAAGCAAATTTTTATAGGCTCTGTATTCAGCATGTAGACAGCTGAGGGGAACAGAAGACCTGGGACACTGAGGTGATATGGCTTATCCTCCTGGACTTTAGTGCTGGGAACACTCAGATACTTTTCTTATGCCAACAATACCATATGAAAGTATACAGAATTACAGTAATCATCCCTGGAGATGGCAAATGTGTGGACTTCCATAGATAAGTCCAAATCCGATAAAAATAATGCAATCTTATTAGTCACTTGTAAAAACAGAGATGTCACAAGATCCAGAAGCAAGGAGTCCAAATACACCTACTGTCATGTGATAGGTTAATGTTCTGATAGAGATACTAGGGGAGGAGAGACTTGAATATACTTGCAGTTGGTCAAAACATTGTGGTTGCATATTTAAGCAATACAGATTGACAACCTATAGGAAATAGGAAATTAAATTCCATCATCCTGAAGGTAGCATTCCCTACTGTGAACTTCGAGATTTTTATGAAGTGCTCCTTTTTCTCCTCCTTGAAGACTGTGGGATCAGGCTAAGGATGGTTTAAAAGGGGCCCACGTGGGATATCAGAGTGCTGCAGTGTTGAGCAGTTGCTGTGCAGCCAGGGTCAAAGAGTAGGGGAAATGCTAACTAGAAAAGTCAGCTGCAGAATTGGAGGAGGGTCTAGAACATTACTCCTGTCCATCCATAAGATAATTCCTTTCACACAAACAGCCTAAAATTTACAAAAACTATTTCTTTCAAAATACAGCTGACCTCTCTTGTATGATAAAGAATGTATTTAGGGGAGAAGTGCTTACAAGCAGATCCTTGTGGTACATTCCTTTCAGTCTTGCTGGGCATTCTGCCTCTGTTTTCACTGGTTAAATATTTAAAGCTATCTTTACAAAGAAAAACAAAAGCTCAAAAATTTATTCTAAAGAGAAACTCGAGATTGTCCTTTAACATGTACCAAGCTTCATTCCACTGAAAAAAGGCAGATGCAGGCTGAGAATTACTCCTCATCCTGCTCGCTCTCTAAACAGCATTCATGGAAAATACACACACACCTAAAAGACATAGAAAAACAGCTTTCCTCAACTCTACCTCCCCACCTTATACACACACACCTTTTCAATTTGTGTATCTTGAAACAGTAATGCAGCAAATATGATCTGAATCTCATTTACATCACTGGAAATGTGGAGTCATTTCTTTAAAAAGAATGTACTTGAAACACTGCAAGAGCAGAGTGAGGCCAGAAGTAAGAGCTCATCATATAATTTCTCCTTGCATCACAGACTTATGAAGCTCTACTCCTTTCCCTTGTATCTATGAAATCAGCAGGTCTACTCCTGGGAGTAAGGATTGCGTCTTAGGCCCTTAAATCAGCCTCTCTGTGTTTGAAGAACAAGAGAGAGTCTGTGTTTTCAGGCACTGTACGTAACTGTAGAAGAACTTGCTCAAGAAAGGGAAATAAAATGAGAGTAAAAATGTTCGCATTCTCTGAACAAAATGAGCTGTGATCTGCAATTGCCCTTTTAAGAGTTGTGACTTTTTCTTGTTCTCTGGAAAACTTCTGGCAGCAGCAGCCGGGCTGCAACCCCTGCGCTGCTCACCCCAGCGCAGAACATGTCAAGGAAGGCAGGCAACATACGGCTTTAATTTGCAAGGGATCATCTACATTTCTTCTGAACAGAAAAGAAAACCAAATCAACTCTCCACATACTCCATCTATCTTGAATAAACAGCATGAAAGAAAAAATGTTGTTGGTATTGGGAGGAAGAGACTCTTTGTAGTCTGCTTTGACTGTACATACCGCCTCTCCTCTTTAAAACAAAATCCTTGCAATGAGGGCCTGACTTACACCAATGCTGGCCAAAAATTACTCTTTATTCCTAGCCCATGGCACCTGGTAGAACATTCACGTTACAATAGGTATCAGTCAACAGGAATAAATTCTATTTCTCTTTTTCCCACAACCTCCAAATAGAAATAAAAGTACAATTTTTAACCCGAACTGACAGTTGCAAACTAATATAGCCAATTAATAAAAGGCATATAGAAAGGCAAGTGGAATGAAAATGAGGTTAAGCTGACCTGGGCCATCCTATGGTGAGAGAATTACTTGGTATCTTGTCAAATGCTTGTTAATAACAACTGCCTCTGCACTGAGGTGACTTTCTGAGCACTTGGCTGTACAGCCTTGAGGCTCTTTGCTGCAGAAAGTATTCTTGCTGCTGACTGCACCATCCCTAAGGTTTGTGTTCAGCTCCTACTGATTTTCTTTGCCGATCACTGCATGTGTTTGTTATTTCTGTCAGCACAGGCATACTTCCAAGAGTCTTCTAGATGTTCCAAGAGATGTTGAAGGCAGGCTTTTAAATTTTAAGAATTTTGTTCTTCTGGCAAGACTAGGTTTGTGAGACACTATGCCCATGGCCCTGAGGCAGATGGCTATGTCATTGGCATCTTGCAAACTGAAAAGTATCTTACCATGCAACTGTAAAAGCTGCTTGGAGACTTGTTCAGGTACTTTCTCTCCAGAATTTTGGTTTGTAGACCTCAATGTCAACTTCCAGGGTCAAACACCTTACTTTTACTATTATCTGGATTAAGGATTTTATCATCTAAAATATATGGTAGTTTTAATATGGTAATGTAAGGGCATACATTATTTCATCTTATAATTTGGGATGTGTGACACTGTAATCATCTCTCCTTTATTTCACTGCATTTAGAATCTTTGCACTGATTCTCCTTCATTTCACTGCTTTTACAATCTTTGTACTGATTTTTCAGCAAGTGTCCCTGACTGTGCATTGTGAGGATTTGATGTGTACTGCCAGTACTCAGAGCTGAAATGAGACACACCTGAGATGTGAATCTGTACTGTCTCATTTGGAAACTCCCAAGAAACTTCATTAATTTATTATACACATTGTTGCCCATCACAATTACATTTTAATCCCTCTCTCTACCCAAATCTCAAAAATCCTTTCTTTCCATACAGAACTAATTGCTCTGCACACAAAAAATATTAACTATTCTTATCAGCCAAGATTCACGCTCTACATGAGACAAAAATCAACTTTTAACTTATCCCACTGAATTACAATGATGTTACTTTTAACCCTTTATTTGACATCTAAATAATGAAACCTTGAATAAAATAAAAACCTAATTATTTAAGCATAACTTTTGCTTTAATTTGATGGACAAGCAATCTATGTCATCATCTTAGTTTACATTTTATTCTTCTGGGTGCTCACTAGTCTTCCTACATACACATTTGTGCTTATATTTGGATTCTCTGTATGTAACATAGGATCTGTGACATAAAGCTGAATAATTTCCTATGGGGAAACAAGTTTTCCCTAAGTGCTGTGGAATGGAAGCATTCACTCTATCCTATTTCTGCCAGTCACACAGAGGAAAACAAGAAAATCCTGTGATGACTTTTTGCTTTGTTTCTTTCCAAAATTAAAGATCCACATAACTATTTTTTTTTTTTCTCAGACAACCCCCCATCTCCCATAACAAGTAAAGCAAGCACAAACCAGCACCTAAAGGATAGTATTGGTGCATACAGAATGTAAGAGGACAAATCTCATACTCTGCCTACCCACCAGAGTCCTAAGTTCCCCTAATGGCTACTAAACTTAGTAACATCTGCATATTGTTTTGAAGTAAAAGCAGAAATTCCTTTTTATTATTATTTAATGCCCAAATTTTTGTTTCTTTTAGAATGGAAGATTGTCTTTCCGTGGCAAGGGGAAGAGTGCCTGTGCTTTAAGAAATACAGTGTGTCTTCATAAGAACATGATTACTGTCATATTGACCCAAGCAAAGGTGGCAGCCAGTCCAGTCTCCTCTCTCCAGCCCTCACCTAGGATGGACACCTAAGGAACCATTAAAAGAACAAGGGAGACACACAGGAATAATTTCCTGTGGATATGATGTGCAGTACCAGTACCAGGCTTGCATGAAGTTGTATATTTTGTTAGACCAAGACATATGCATGGAAAAGTAAGACAGACTTTTGGCCACACTTTTCTATGTGTTAGAATCACCTTTCAATTAAGAGCAATTGCTTACCATTTCCTAAGGTATTTATTAATTAAGCCAGATCTGAAAAGAAGGAGATGGTAGCTTTAGAATAAAGAGGATATTGATGATGTTATGGATGTGAAAAATAGCATTTATTAGCTAACCAAAAAGGCCAGATGATTACCTTACAGTCTGTTGATTTGGAGAGGGGTAAGTGGGAGGGGACAGTGTTGTATGTCGTAGGAGAAGTAAATTATCAGACCAGCATCTCTACTAAGCCCTAGGTTTTGGGTAGAGTTAGGAAACCTAGTTCCCATGTGTACTTCTGTGGGACAAGCTTGTAGTTTCCCTTAAGGATCAGGTCTGAAAGGAGAGGAAGAATGTCTGTTTTCTGAGAAAGACTCCCTCACAAACAGCTCAGTGGTTTATTTGGTCTATGAAGATGGCCTCCAGGAGCTCACACTCATGCTGAGTGGTCGTTTTCAGCAGTAGAACTACAAGGAATGCAGCTGTGCTCTGGATGAAGTACAGCCCTGGAACATCAAATATAAGACCTGGGTATGCTGATGATTTGATGGCAGGGGGTGCTCATTGCTGTAATAGTGGATGGGCATCAAAACACATCTTGCATTTCTTGCTCAGGCACGGTTTAAACTGATCTGGTGTTTTGGGCCACAAAGGATTATGCTCTAATGATGAGTTTTGTGGTTTGGGGTGTTTGAAATGTAGGACAAGTGCTTCTGGGAAGATTCTTTCCACACAGGATTTTCTTCTGTAATGTGAAAAATCATTAAATAGTTAAAATGAACAAGAAACTTTTCTGAACTTAACAGCTCTCAACCCTTGTTCTTCTCCCACAAAACTACCTCTATCTCATTTCCACTCTTTCTTTCTGAGCTGGTCTTACTGATACGTGTGCACTTGAATAGTTTTTCTCAAGCTGCATTTAGCTTTCAGCTAATTACTGCATTTAGATAGTTATTGCTTCAGAACAAAAAAAAAAACAAACAACAAAACAAAACAAAACAAAAGCTTGTAAATCCAAAAACGGTTTTCCTTCTGTACTAGTTGGTCTAAAAAAATCTATTAGTATATATACAGACCTTATCTGTATACACTGGTCTTTTTCCTAGAACTATCTTCCCGGATATTAGAGAAGGTGTTTTTCAGTTTGAGAAGTGTTTCCTTAATATTTCAAATTCAGACCCCAGTAGGTAGAATTTCAACCAACTGATGATGCACTCAGGCATCTTAATTACCTCTCCTGGACTGTGTGATGTGTCCCCAGGTCTAAAGAGGACAGTCAGAAAGCCAAGGAGGCTTCCCAAGACTACCGATGTAGATCTGAAGAGAAAAATCTGTAGCTTCAAACTATAAATACAATATTTAAGGAATCAAACTGTTCAGCAGAAGATGGAAAAAGGTATTTGTGCATGTAATTTTTGAACTATGGTCCTCTGAGAAGAGAGTTCTTGACAGAACTGAATCAGCCTCAGTAAACGAGGACATCGGCAATCGTCATTTTTAAGGATGTGCAATTTCTAAACATGATCCCACTCCTGCAGTCGTTACACAGCATAGATTTTGCTATTAATTAGTTTGAATGTGGGACAGTACTGCTGGGAGAAAGAGAGTGGCCTAAATAGCATGGTCCAAATTTTATCTGTAGCTATCCAAGAAATACGGATGTCTTTTATTAACCCTTGCCACCTCTGACAGCTGGAAATAAATGCTGGAGTTATCTTACTACTAATGGATTTTTGGAGCTCAGTTAACATGTAAGGCGGAAAGGGTGGGAGCATGCTGCAGAGAAGGAAGACAGCTGGCGGGAGAAGTTCCATGCCTGGTTCATCTCCGAATGGCAGAATTAACCTTCGGACAAATATGAGAACATTTTCACAGACGACAGAGAGCCTTAATTACTGAATGCCTGGAGAACAGGGCAGGGTTCTTCTCTCCAGGAGCACACTTTATTATTCTTATTCAATTCCAATGAGTACAGTAAATCCCCTATTCAGCCTTCATCTGGACTATGCATTTCGGGAGAGCCAACAGGACCTCCATTCTGTTTGTGCAATGGGGCTTCAGGCATGCAGAAATGGCCACTGCTGGCGGTCACTGTATGCCCATTCACCTCCTCCCCAGAATATAGCAAGAATTTCAAAAACCTGACGGGAGGTATTGCAAGTCACACAGCATTCGACTTGAGTCACTCTGGAACAGCTGCCCACTAAGCAGAGAGAGGAAGGGAAATGGGAAAGCCCTGTCGGGATTATTTTCCTATGTAGGGCTGCAGCTGCGGCCACGACAGGAGGAAGGCGCAGGTAACACACCGGCAGTAGCTCGGTAGCGAGTTACCTGAAGTGTCTCTGGGGTGAGGCGAGTAATAGCCACCTCAACAGCACCGTGAATGCCATGTGCCACATCGCGGTCTGTGCCTTCACGCTGCTGCGGCTCCCGAGTGACCGCGGTGTGTCTCCCACATTTCAGACCTGCAGAGAGCGACAGCCCGACCGCGCACCGCTCCCCGCAGCAAGGTCCTGGCAGGGCCACAGATCCCTCCTCCAATCGTGCCCTTTGCTCTGTGCCAAACATCGCTTCCCCCGCCCGGGATCAGCCCGACTGCCTGCACGGCGCGGGGCACCGAGGGTGCCGAGCCCCGGCCCGGTCCGGTCCGGGTGCGCCGCTCAACATCTCCAGCAGTCGTCATC